ATCCATTCTGCAGCCCATGGATTAGGAGTAATTTTATCTTTCAAGTCTTATTATTTCAGAAATACATTTTATAAGGCTATGCTGCCATAGATAGTGATTCCTCTGACAGATCTGGGAAAAGTAAAATAAAAACCTTCTAGATGCCAGGTACAGTGGCTCACACCTGTAATCTCAGCATTTTAGGAGGCCAAGGTGGGTGGATCACCTGAGGTCAGGAGTTCATGACCAGCCTGGCCACCACGGTGAAACCCTGTCTCTACTAAAAATATAAAAATTAGCCAGGTATGGTGGTGGGTGCCTATAATCCCAGCTACTGATGCTGAGGCAGGAGAATCACTAGAACCCAGGAGACGGAGGTTGCAAGGAGCTGAGATTGCTGTATTGCACTCCAGGCTGGGTGACAGAGCAAAACTCCATCTCAAAAAAAAAAAAAAAAAGAACCTTCTGGAAAGGATTCACCATTTTGGATGCCATTAAGAACATTCATTATTCATGGAAGGAGGTCAAGATATCAACATTAACAGTAGTTTGGAAGAAGCTGATTCCAACCCTCATGGATGACTTTGAGGGGTTCAAGATTTCCATGGAGGAAGTAACTGCAGATGTGGTAGAAAGAGCAAGAGAACTAGAACTAAAAGTGGAGACTGAGGTGGAAACTGAACTGCTGCAATTTCATGATAAAACTTAAATAGACAAGGAGTTGATTCTTATGGATGAACAAGGAAAGTGGTTTCTTGAGATGGAATCTGCTCCAGGTAAAGATGCCTTGAGCATTGTTGAATTGACAACAAACATTTTAGAACATTAAATAAACTTAGCTGACAAAGCAGTGGCAGGGTCTGAAAGTATTTACCCTAATTTTGAAAGAAGTTCTACTAGGCTATCAGACAGCATCACATGCTACAGAGAAATCTTTTGTAAAAGAAAGAGTCTATCTATGTAAAAAAAACTGCATCGTTGTCTTATTTTAAGAAATTGTCAAAGTCAGCCCAACCTTCAGCAACCGCCACCCTGATCAGTCAGCAGCCATTAACATCGAAGCAAGACCCTCCACCAGCAAAGAGCATGGCTCGCCGCAGGCTCACATGATCATCAGCATTTTTTAGCATTAAAATATTTCTAAATGAATGTATGTACATTGTCTTTTAAGACATAATGCCATCACACACTTAATAGACTATAGTATGATATAAAACACAACTTTTCTATGTACTGAGAAACCCAAAAATTTGTGTGCTTCACTTTAGGTTCTTAATCATGGTGGTCTGGAACCAAACTCACAATATCTCTGAAGGACGCCTGTACTTATCTGAGACAAGTTTTACAAAACAACGCTAAAACGCTTACCATATGCAATGTGTTCCAATATATTCTAGTCTAGGCTAGTCTATTTCATTTTTTTAATGCTGATCACAACCCATTAAAATGATGCTACCAACCACAAATGGGTCATGACAACGAATTTAAAAACACAAATGTATTCTAACCTCTTGGTTCCATAGCTGAGAAAGCTAAGACTCAGAGAGGTTAAATCCAAGGTCAAAAGGCTACTTCCTGGCAGAATCAGGACTAGTTTAGACCCAGGTAAATGATGACTGTTGCTATCACTTTAATAATTGGGACTCTCCTCAATGAATGCCTCCTCGATAAATCCTGGTCAGAATTCCCTTCTATCCATAACCCCTGCTGCTGACATTGTTCAGGCTGCTGTTGTTTCTGTCGTCGTTTTTTTTGTTGTTGTTGTTGTTGTTGTTTTAACACCCCCAGGCCTGCTTCCCTGATATCCCTGTGAACCTGGAGGCATGGTCCCGGGCTAAATGGTCCCATGGCATTTTCCATATCACCAAACTGACCACTCTGTTCCTCTCCTCTACTGCTTCCTTGCCATGAGCCACAGCATCCCCCAAGGTGGGCCAAGGAACTACCAGCCTTGAGGAAGTGACGAGCTTGATAACTCAGCCAGAAGAAACCTGAAGGGCAGAGCTTAACTCCACCTGAGTCCTGATATACAAATTCCAAGATGCACTAAAGATGGCCAAGTCACTTTGGAAGACCCTGAAGAAGTGGGCCATTCAGCCCTATGTAGGCAGAAAAAACCCTTCAGGGGTCTAGGAAAAAAATCACATTTAAAAACCAAAGGGCTTCCTCTCTCACTTGGCTGCCATCTTGCAGATTGAAAGATGATGTGAGGCCAGGCACAGTGGCTCACACCTGTAATCCTAGCACTGTGGGAGGCTGAGGTGGGTGGATCACCTGATGTCAGGAGTTCAAGACCAGCCTGGCCAACATGACGAAACCTTGCCTCTACTAAAAAAAAAATACAAAAAATTAGCCGGGCTTAGTGGCACATGCCTGCAATCCCAGTTACTCAGGAGGCTGAGATGGAGGATCGCTTGAATCAGGGAGGCGGAGGTTACAGCAAGCCGAGATTGCGCCATTGTACTCCAGCCTGGGGCAACAAGAGTGATACTCTGTCTTGAAAAACAAAAAAAACAAACAAAAAAAGATGATGTGTCTGGAGAGTTGGCTTTCTGATCAAGTTTCGCCTTACTAGGTGGTGCATACTGGGAAGGGTACAGAATGTGGATGCACCGTAGCAAGCAGACTCCAAATGCCTCTTCCACCTTCCACCTTAGCAACCTGCACTCCCAGCCTTCCTATAACTCTCCCCCAATGTCTTCACCTTGAGGTTTCAGCAAGCCCCAATCTCTGTGGCTCTCACAAAACCATGCAAATCAAACCCAACTCCAATCAGAAAAGCATCTATCCTCTGCTTCACCCTCAGAGGTCTCAAACATGCATTCCATCTCTCCAAGCCAGGTTTCATACAGCAACTTGAATATGAGTGTTGTAAAATCACGTGTTCTACGTCAATCACTTTACGGCACTCCCAGTGCTTCAGAAAAGAGAATCACACTCTACCCCACAGCTTCAGACAGGGCTTAGTAAACACAGTTCATGGGCCAAATTGGGCCAGGTGCCTGTTTTTATAAATAAAGTTTTATTGGAACACTGTCATGCCCATTTGTTTACCTATTAACTGTGCTGCTACCTGATAGAGTTGAGTTCAGCTGCAACAGAGACCAAATAGTCTGCAAAGCCTGAAAGTATTTACTATCTGCCCTTGTACAGAAAAAGTGTACCAACCCCTGGCTTACAGAATCCTGCCTCTTTTTTTTTTTAACGGCGATAAAATACACATAACATAAAAGTTACCATCTTAACCATTTGTCAGTGTATGGTATTAAACTCAGTGGTAGTAAGTACACTGGCATTGTTGCACAATCATCACCACCATCCATCTCCAGAACGCTTCATCATCCCAAACTAAAAGTCTATACCTGATAAATAATAACTCCCCATTCTCCCTCCCCTCAGCCCTGGCATCCACTGTTCTACTTTCTGCCTCTATTTATCTGTCTACTCTAGGCATCTCATATCAGTGGAATTATACAGTACTTATTTTCATGTGTCTGGCATATTTTACTTAGCATGCTGTCTTCAAGGTTCACTCATGTTGTAGCATAGATCAGAAGTTCCTCCCAGGTTAGGCGCAGTGCCTCACACCTGTAATCCCAGCACTTTAGGAGGCCAGGGTGGGCAGATCACTTGAGGTCAGGAGTTTGAGACCAGCCTGGCCAACATGGTGAAACCCCATCTCTACTAAAAGCACAAAAAATTAGCCAGGCATGGTGGCACAGGCCTGTAGTCCCAGCTAATGGCTTGAATCTGGGAGGCAGAGGTTGCAGTGAGCTGAGATCACACCACTGCACTCCAGCCTGGGCGACAGAGGAAGACTCCATCTCAACAAAAAGAGAAGTTCCTTCCTTTCTAAGGTTGAATAATATTGCATTGTATGGATAGACCACATTGTGTTTATTCATTTTTCTACTTATAGACACAGGTTGTTTCTACTTTTTGGCTACTGTGAATAGCACAGCAACCTGCCTAACCCTACATCACACAACTGCTCCCTCCCCTACAGGGGTCTGCTGTCGATTTCCCCAGTATGTCCTGCTTCCTTCCACCTTCGACTGAGATGAGCCGTGGATATAAAATATACATTCAGTTTCAAAGACTTTGTATTTTTTTTTTTTTTTTTTACGGAGTTTCACTCTTGTTACCCAGGCTGGAGTGCAATGGCGCAATCTCGGCTCACCGCAACCTCCGCCTCCTGGGTTCAAGCAATTCTCCTGCCTCAGCCTCCTGAGTAGCTGGGATTACAGGCACACGCCACCATGCCCAGCTAATTTTTTTGTATTTTTAGTAGAGACGGGGTTTCACCATGTTGACCAGGATGGTCTCCATCTCTTGACCTCGTGATCCACCTGCCTCGGCCTCCCAAAGTGCTGGGATTACAGGCTTGAGCCACCGCGCCCGGCCTGACTTTGTATTTTTTAAATGCAAAATATCTCAGTAATGACATTTTACATTGATTCTACGTTAAAATATCATTTTCATATAGTGTGTTAAATGACGTATTATGACAATATCACTTGTTCCTTTTCATTCTTTTTAATGTGACTACTAGAAAGTTGAAGGTTAATATAAGCCTCCTATCCTATTTCTAGGAGCAGCACTAGGCTGGACTCTGCAGGGGTTGGCAAAAGTTTTCAGTAAAAAGCCAGATGGTAAATATTTTCAGCTCTGTGGGCCATTCTCATTCTGCCATCTTCACACAAAAGAAGCCATAGGCAACACATAAAGGAATGATTGTGGGTGTGTTCCAATACATTTTATTTACAAAATCAGGCCGGCTATCAGATTTAGCCCCTAGGCTTTAGAGTATTAATCACATTTTTTAAAAATGGCCAGTTCTGGGAAATTCTGTTCTATTCATTTTCTCAGAACCGTCTGTAAAAAGCGATCTTTCATTCAACCAGAGACTGGAACACAAGTCTGTACCCGGCTTCCCTGACCTGGGCAGCTCCTGGGGCCACCGCGCAGCCCCTGCCAAGCCAGGGCTGGACCGCCCCAGGGCACCCACCAAGTGCACTCACTTGGGCGTATGGGCCTCGTCCACGCGGTGCGCCAGCTGGAACTCGTGAGATTTGCTCCGATGCAGTGCGGTGAACCCCGGGATCAAGTGTATCAGCTTTCGGGAGGAGGGCGGTGGGGTCCCCGGGGGCTTCAGCTTGTTCTTCTTCCTCATGGGCGGCGTGCCCGGCGGGGTCACGGTGGTGACGATGTTGGGGGTGCGTGGTGGGGTGCGGACCGCGTGCCGCTGCCGGGGCGATGGGGGCAGGGAACGGTGGCCCGACTCCAGTGGCGGGGGCGGGCACAAGCCCGGGTAGGCGTCCACAGTAAGCCTCTCCACGTGGGTGTACACAGGGGCCCCGGGAGTGGGGCTGGTGTGACAATAGTGCTGGACGCACTTGGACTGGACCCTGGGGCTCTGCGAGAGATGGGTGCGGATCCACGGGGTGGACTCTGGGGGGCACACGGGATTGTTCTCCTTCCCCGTCTCTGTGGTGGGCCACTGGATGGTCCAGTCTTGTTTGGAAAGGTTGCCTCCTGAGTTGGAACAGAAGAGCAGAGACAATAGGTAAGCCGTGAGAAAGCCAGGTGAGTTACACCATATACACCATTACATCATGTGCACACTATACCACGTGCCCATCACATCATATGCATGTTACACTATATGCCTGTTATATAATATATATGTTATCTCATATGCAAATTACATCATATGCACATTATGTCATGTGCCCATTCACATCATAGGCCTGTTACATTATATACCTGTTACATCACATGCATGTTACATCATATGCACATTATATGTGTATTCCATCATATTCACATTGTATCATATGCATATTACATCATATGCATGTCACATTATATGCACATTACATCATATGCATGCTATTTCATATGCCCATTACATCATATAGACATCCTATCATATGCATGTTACATCACACCCACGTTACATCATAAGCATATTTGCATAAATCCAACCACCCCCACTTGGCCCCTCCAAAAAAAGAATTCAATCCCTTTATTGACCCTGTTACCCTATTCCCCATTCAACAGCCTTGCCTTCCTCTGCCCCATCGTTGGTTAGACCCCACAGCCCAAATGCTCAGAAAAGCAAAGAAGTTAATTCTTGCCTTTTGAGCTTCCCAAGGTCCCAGTTTCGGAAGTTTCAAAGTGATTTAAAGGACTTCAAAGGATAACTTTTCCCTTACATGGAAATTTTAATACCTAACCCTCATGTGAGACACACAAATTCCAAGGAAGTCAAGTTCATCCTTAGTCCCTCCCTGACCACTTCCTTGGTCACCACATACTTCTTCCAGATCTATGTCGCCATGTTCTCATTCATGCATTTGTCCAGTAAACATTCTGTGAGTGCCAACTATGCCCCTTTGCTTGAGAAAGACACAAAAGCAACACAGACGAGACCCTGGTCCCCTGGACTTACATTCTGCCGAAGCAGAGTCATGATAGATAAGAAAGCATGCTCACCAATGGATTTCACATGGTTATTGGTGCTGGGAAAGAAATAAACAGAATGATGTGATAAAAATATGGGTGGCTGGGCACAGAAGCTCACGTCTGTAGTTTCACCAATTTGGGAGGCCAAGGTGGGCAGATAAATTGAGGTCAGGAGTTCAAGACCAGCCTGGCTAACATGGTGAAACCCCGTCTCTACTAAAAATACAAAAAATTAGCCAGGCATGGTGGCATGCACCTGTATCCCAGCTACTGGGGAGGCTGAGGTAGGAGAATTGCTTGAACCCAGAAGGCAGAGATTGCAGCAAGCCAAGATTGTGGCCCTGCACTCCAGCCTGAGCTACAGGCTCTCTCTCTACACACAAATCATGTGCTACACAGCTCAGCCAGAAAGCACCAAGGGCCGATGCATACAAAAACCTAGGCGAATCTCCAGATAGTTAGGCTGAGCAAAAAATGCCAACCCCAAAAGGTTACATACTGTATGACTCCATTTATTTGAAATGACAACATTTTTGAAACAGAAGATAGATTGACGGTTGCCAGGGGTTAGGGATGGCAGAAAAGGGAGTAGGAGAAAAGTGGATGTGGTGAGAGGAGAGCCATACAAGGGAACCCTGGAGTGCTGGAACTCTCCTGCATCTTGATGGCGGTAAATACATGAACCTACACAGGTGATCAGATCACACAGAAGTAGATCTATTGTGGTGGCTCGTGACTGTAATCCCAGCACTTTGGGATCAAATAATTCCAAATGTACAAGGCAGTAAGATCACGTGAGCCCAGGAGTTCAAGACCAGCCTGGGTGACACAGTAAGACCTTCTCTGTACAGGAAGTAAAAAAATCAGCCAGGCACAGTGGTGCACTCTGTAGTCTCAGCTACTTGGGAGGCTGAGGTGGGAGGATCCCTTAAACCTCAGGAGGTCAAGGCCGCAGTTAGTCATGTTCATGCCACTGCACTCCAGCCTGGATGACAGAGTGAGACCCTGCCTCAAAAAGAAAAATACATAGAACTAAATGTACCCAGAGACACAGACACACACACACACACACACACACACACACACACACGAGTGAAAATAAAGCTGGGGAAATCTGAACAAGATTGGTGGATTGTATCAACATCAATATTCTGTGATATTCTATTTGGTGATACTGTACCATGGTTCTCAAAATGTTACCATTGGGAAGAACTGGGCAAAGTATAGAAGGGATGTCTGTATTATTTCTTATACCTACATGTGAATCTACAATTACTTCAATCAAAAATGTCCATTTTAGAAATTAAAAATAAAATCCAAGAATACAGAGGGTCTACTTTAGCAGAGTGATCAGGGAAAGCCTCCTAAGGAAGTGACATTCATGCTGGCCTGTGAAGGACAGGAAGGGCATCGTCACACCAAGAACAGAGCACACCAGGCTGGGAAATGAGACAGGCTGAGGTCTAGAAGTAGGAAGGGCTTTTTTTTTTAATTATTCTAATAGTTTATTAGAAAGAATAAACACTTTTTTAAATCCCCACTGTTATGAATTCAAATTGAGGTTTTCAGCCCTGGTATAAACTGAATCAAAAAAAAAAAAAAAAAAAAAAAAAAAAAAAAAAAAAAAAAAACGAATGAGAGAGAGAAGGAAATTTAAAAATCCAATGGTAGACCAGGCATGGTGGCTCTCACATCTGTAATCCCAGCACTTTGGGAGTCTGAGGCAGGTGGACCACCTGAGGTCAGGAGTTCAAGACCAGCCCGACCAGCATGGTGAAACCCCATTGCTACTAAAAATACAAAAAAAATCAGCCGGGTGTGGTGGCATGTGCTGGTAATCCCAGCTACTTGGGAGGCTGAGGCATGAGAATCGCTTGAACCCAGGAGGCAGAGATTGCAGTGAGGTCAGATCACACCATTGCACTCCAGCCTGAGCGACAAGAACAAAACTCTCTCTCAAAAAAAGAAAAAAAATTCAATGTCATATTAACATTTTTCATTCATTTGACATATTAACAGTGCAAATACAAATTTGGTCTAAAGATAGACTCTCATGCAACTATGTAAAGCCTTTCTGCATCCTCCCTGCTAACAGCTCTAAATGCATCAAAACCAAACAATACCAAATGTACAGGCTTCAAAACCATCTAAGTTAGGGAAGTCACTTTCCTAGGTCTCTTTCCGGAATACCTGCATGAAAGCGGTGTTCCCAAGTTGTGGTGACAATGGGGTGACACTCAAGGAGAGGTTGAAGGGACAGGTGAGAACAGACTGCCAGATCTGTGGGCTAAGGTGCAGACTGGCTTTCACATCAAGTTCAACAGGAAGCCATCGAGAGTTTTGAGGCAGGGGAGGCACTGATTGAAAGTTCATTTCTCAGAGATCACTCAGGCTGCTGCAGGGAAAAGTAGAACCCAATTAAGGGATATCTCAGGGAGTTGCAAGAGATGTTGCAAGCTCTGGCTTGGGTGGTGGCAGCAGAGATGGAGAGAATTCAGCCAGGTGTCAATGAAGAAAGACCGGCCAGAACCCAGAGGAAGGCAGCCACATGGGCACTTCCATCATGGGCCAAGGAAGAAGATTTGGGGCAGAAAGAAATTCCTGGCTGACTAGCAATAACGATAATAATCACTATAACGACCGTAACAAGAGCTAATTTATAGCGCATTTCACTGTTTCCAAAGTGCTCTCATGAACACTGACTCGCTGTCCCGTTTTTTAATTAAAACAACTCATTTTGTTATTATACATTCATTACAGAAAAATTAGAAAATTGAGATAAGAAAAAAAGGCAATGCTGTCCTACAGCCTAGCCATCGTCCCTGTCAATCTGATTCTAGAGACTTCCAACTGTTTTGAGGTGGATTTTTTTTTTTTTTGAGGAAAAAAATATGCCGTTAAGACCGTATTTAATGGTTCGTCTGTCTTCTTCACTTGTTATATTGGGACTGTTTTACATCTAACTTAATTTTTTTAACTCTGTGTGCAAAGGGCCATATTAATTTCCATTTTATAGGTAAGGAAACTGATGCAAAGCGATGAAGACGTGCCTGAGGTCACAAGAGAGATGCTAACTGGCAGCCAGATTCAAACCTGAAACTTCAGCCACCTCAACAAGCAGGGGATGAGGATGCCTGTGGAAGAGAACTGGGGCCCCCAATTGCCATCATAGGTCGTTCAAATGGGAATAGATCCTGAAATAAAGGCTCGTTTTTCAAAAGGATCTCCTTTTCCCTCCTCCCAGGCTTGCCAGAACACTCTACTGAAGTCGCCATCCTTACAGTATCTACTCTCAAATACTGACACATACACATTAGCCCAGTGAGTAGGAGAGTCAACGCTGGAGTCAGATGACTTGCGCTCCAAATCTGACTCCCGCCCACTTACGGCTGTGTGACCTTGGGCACTCATCTAACTTCTCTGAGTCTTGGCCTTGTCACCTGTGCAATGAGACAATAATAAAACCTACCTCAGGAACTACTATGAGGATCAAATGCACAAATACAAGTCACATGCTTAGCACAACTCTCACACACGATAGGTGCCCCATAAATGCTAGCAATTGGCATTGTAATTCTCAACACTGGGGTAATACATCATTATCTGCTCTTTAAAGAGTGTGTAGTGATTCTGACAGCTTTACCATTCTTACTCTTTATACAGTGAGGAAGCTGACGTTTAGCTGAAGCTAAATAGCTCTAAGAACTAGGAATAGAACAGAGAATCCAGTTAAGACAAGTTTCTCCATCACCCAATACATCAGTAAGCTCTGGATTGATGTATTTGCTCTGGGAATACAAACTCATTGTCAAGTTAGCCTAAGTAAAGTCTGTTTAAGAAAGTAAATCTATTTCCTAAGCTGTCTTAATCAAATACTGCACCACGAAGCCACAAAGTAGTGCTTTAGGCATTAACATTACAAGCTGTTGCCCATCCTGAATGAAATGGAAAGAATATGGAATTGGGAACCAGAAGAATCCAACAGAATTCTGGTTACACCACTGACCAGCTCCGTGACCTTGGCCAAATTCCTTAACCTCCCTGAGCTTCAGTCTGGGGGCTCATAA